TTAATTTTTTCACGTTTGTTGTATTTATGATTATTGAAGATTCTTTTATTAACGTTTTAGTTATTCCCTTTGTTGTATGGGCAATTTTAGATTATCTTGTGGGAAAACATTTTTTTGGGTACAGATTTTTAGTAAACCTTACATAATGGGGTACCTTAAAAGCTTTCAAAACAAAAAAAAGAAATAACTTTAAAAATGGGAATTTCCTAAATTGAAGAATTTATTACAAGCTTCCATACTTTCCCCATTTGGAATGGCTAAACATGTTTGCAGCCTCGAGATTTCTTCTTATTTATGATCCTTTGGCGCTCAACTAATCTCACTTGTTTGATGTGTCCGAGGGAAAGAAAATGTTCTAGCAGAGTATGTGTATAGACCCCCCAGAAAAAGGTATTTCTTTGGGGGTATTCAGATCAAATTGTTAATATAGTGTATTCAAGTAGAATAGTAGAATTATATATTTGATTAATCAAGTGTCCAAGTTTATGGTTGTCTTTATCACACACATTCAGAAGTTTATATGGTATGCTGAGAATAAGAATATATTTTTTCATGTACATGTACAAATAAGTTAAAAGTGATTTAACTTTGTATGAGACATTGTCACTTTTGGACATCTCTTAGGTACATCCACTTTTGGACATCTTTTACATACACCCACAGCTTTGCTCCTAAAGTTGTTACATTCCCCCTTATGTAGCTGCACATTCACATTCCTTTTGTGTGGTTTGTTGTATTTCATTCTAAACTTCTCAGGGGTAAAGAAATATATAATGGGGTAAGGAAGTCTAATAACATCTTAAATATCTGGATGTATCCTGGCATTGTTAGTATCTAGAACTATTTTATATTATATAATCACTAAATTACAGTAGCAAGCTAGGATATATTTAGACCTTTTGAATTCTTCCATTTTTGTTGCATATGTTTCATTATTCTGTTTTCTTCCATTGCTGTGAACATAGAATATACTTTGTAAGATTTTATTAAATAAATATAACACTATATCCTTTTCTTATATGTCTTTGCAATCTGTCAAAAAACTTCTTTGCATGCTGGCAGTATATTAACAAATGAAATTCAGAGGACCTAATAAGAGATTGTAAATCATGACAAAATAGGAATGTTATATTGTTTGCTTCAAAACACTATCATTACATGGTGTTTACTATGTCATAATTAAAAAAAGGACACCACTGCTGTACTGTATGGTGCTAATTGTGCCTTTCCATATCTGTGGGCAGTACATTGTACTTAATTATCATATACATCCTTAATCAATTAAAGAAAATGATTCAGCTCCTTGCTTATGAGGAGAATTAAACCATGGGATGTATGCATTATAATTTATTAGTATATCTCTATTATGTTTAGTAGTTTCATACAGAGTTGTCTAAAATTACATTTTTGCCCTGTTACTTTTTTTCCAATCAAGTAAATTTTTCATCAAACAAATGTGGATTTCTGTAACCACTAAACACCAATGGAGAGGAAATGAACAGTGGCTGTTATTCACTAAAGTTACATGACATGCAGTGCTAATGGTGAGAAGTTTATTCTGACAACAGCATCATAAAGGGAGAAGAGATGAGGGCTTTGTTCTCTTAATGTTACAGACTTAAGTAAAAGAGAAGGCAGTTAAGGGATGGTTTCCAAAATGATATGTCATGTAGAACAATGTTAGCTGAAGTACATTTGCTAAATAATATAACAATATATAAGAAAGAAGACGACTGATGTATAAAATGTGACAAAATATTAAAATGGATGGGTCAAATATTAATTCAAACAGATTCAACAGCATGTACAAAGAAACTATTGAGGGGCGACTCACTAGTTTTTAAAGATTTTTACGTTGAACTTTACCAAATTACCTTGCTCCCTTATTGTGGACGTCTTAATATAAGAGAGCACAGTAACTTGAGGTTGGGATTTTGAAAGAGAAAGTGGGGACTGAAAGAAATCAACAAAATATTTATAGATAATTTAAAAACATGTTATCAAGTTAACCACAAGAACAGGATAGCCTTACTTTTCACTTCTGATTTATGTAATCTCTTCTACATTAACCAAGAAAGGATGGTTACCTTACTTCAGTGTTTTTTTTTTGTTATTGCTGTTACTACCATGAAGTGACCTAAATGCTTTCGTGGTTTGGGGTAGTATATGGTATACTGATGTTCTTTTATGCGCCATGTTATATAAATATGAACCAGTGTAAGCTACAACACTGTTAATGTTACATTATTTCAGTTTGTTGAACATATTGACTCATGAAATTTGATGATATTATCAACATAAACGAAAAATGCTTGTAGTAGTATTGATATGATGATAATAATGATAATATATGATGATTTTAATAATAATAATTATAATAATAATAATAATAATAATAATAATGAACAATAATAATAATAATAATAATAATAATGATAATAATAATAATAATAATAATAATATTGATAATAATACTAAGAAGAAAAATATCAATAATAGTAATAATTACTAATAATAATGATGACAGGAACAGTACTAACAATCATCACTGTCATTATCCAAACAATTTCAATTAATAATGGAGATGAAACATTAAACACAACATTATATCAGTCCTTCAGACAGCTGAACTTCAGAAACACATTTCCTTGTTAAAATCGCTTCACTGTGCAACGACCGTCGACGCGGCAGAGATGGGCCTGGGCTGGTCTTCTGGGGAGCCGAGTGGTTGCGCATCGTCACTCTTATTCCTGTAGTCGTTCAACATTTGACGCTGCAAGGGAAAAGATTTATTTTTTTTAGGTGTGATTGTTGTACTTATTTTTTAATACATAACCTGTAATAAGATATTTCTGTTCACTTACAAATATACAGTTTTGCATAACACATATGCTCATTATA